GCTCTGTATGTGTGTGTACCGCATATGAATCGAAATTCGAATGTGTATATAATTAGGAATAGAAGCAGTTGTGTAGCTAGTTGCCACTGCCGTCGCGGCTGCAGCATCTCTACATGCATGTCTCTCTCTCTCTCGCTCTCTGCATTCGCTGCGCGCAGGGGATAGGTATAAATGTGTATATAGGCAGCTATATAGCTATATAATACACATGCACACAACTGCGAGATTTCCAAAGCGCCTGCTAATGACATTTCTACGTTCTATATCATCGTGCGAGTAAGTCGCGAGAGCCTTTTCAAACAAGTTTTGATGAAATAACTTTTTACCGCGCTCGGGCCAGCTAGTTTCGACGTGTGCGGTATATTCGCGCGCTCGTGACAGATCCGCGCGAGCAAAACGGATTTGCTATGCCATTTAGAGCGTCGAAGGCCGATTATCCTACATATGTACCGATAGTTGAAATGCAAACGCGTTTATTTTTTTTTGAATTGCACTCAACAAGCACTCGACTCTTTATAATAAAAGGATATCACGACGGTAACAGTCGATGCTTGGTGCGAGGTTGGGTACGATAAGCATACCATTGGCGGACTCGACCACAAAAATGACGAGACGATAACGTCGTGTCGAATAGCGGCTCGTAGAGCTGACCCGGCTCGACGTCGCTTCTGCGTCGGGTTTATTAACGCGACTGTATCCGACGCAGGAGGCGGCCTAGTACAGCTGCGATTGCATATCTATATATCGTAATACGTGTAATGAAAGGAGCCTATACGCAGTCTACACACAGATCCCCGGCCGCCTCTCGTTGCAGCGCAGCAGTGGCACGTTCTCTCGCACACAGAGACGCGCAATCGACCACGAGATGATTTCTCATTACGGTCACGAATCGTAATCCATACATGTCGTGCACGGCTTACGTTATTATTACCCGCTCCTGCCCGTTCCCGAAGCCCCTTACCCTGACTCGTCGTAACTAGCTGCGGAGCAAGGCTATACGTGTGCTATATACAGACGTATCCATAGCCGAGCGAGCCTACATATATATAATACGTATACACTGATACGCACCTTCACTAACCCCGTGGCTGCTGCTCCTATGTTTTAACTCTCTGCCCGGGTTGGAAAGACGTATAACGCGTACAGCGACGAGCCATCCTCTCCTCTCCCTTCTCACCCCCGCCGCTGCCGCGCAACAGTCCCGTTTGCCTCCGCCGCTGCTTCGTCTCGGTTCCATTTGTCTAATAAAGCGACTATTTCGCGAAACTCCGAGAGAGCTAATACGATGTGCGATACTTGCCAAGAGCCTGAATATTTCATTGAAGTCGACTTACATAAGTTATAAGGTGACTTACATGTAAGTTAAAGCTCTGCGAACTGATACCCCGATCATTGCTCTAACGCTAATGAATAGAAAAAGGTGAGCATATAATTTTCTGCTCTGAATGACACGTCAAGAAATTTAAAAAAAACGCTGATACCTACGCCTCGATGCATGCTTCAAGACATAGAGAGCTTTCCTTAGCTTCGGCACCCTGTCCCGATTCTCGAGCGATCTTTGTTCAGGAGAAATCTTGAAAAGTAAGCCTTCGTCCAGGATTGGACCATTTCATAAACTTCGTATACAGTTGCGTGATAAAGAATCCTCAAGAAACTGCTACAGCTGATTAGCTTCTACTACTTATTATTGAACTTTGAAAATCAAAAACTTGCACGAGTTAGATTGATTCGGATACATACGATTACATATTCAAAAATATCAAAACTTATAAAATCCGTTAAAAATTTTATTACCATTACAAAAACTACACAACAAATTTTATTTTGTCGTATTAAAAATATAATTCTATTTTAATTAAAATCAAAGTTATAGTTACATTACATCAGTAAACGTTTTGTATTTATTTCTGCAATAGCTTATACCACTGCTTTTTTCATATCTTTTTTCGTAATTCTAGTAATTTTTTAAATTCTTTTCAAATAAAATTACAATTTTTTCTTTTGATAATGTAAAAAATTTAGCAAACATAAAATCATTGTTAACTTAAAATCATCGTTAAGTTCGAATTGTTATTCACGTTAATACTGTCAGATTAGCAGATTAATGTTGGGTAAATCCATGCTTTACTGGTATTTATATGATTGGTGAAGGACCAGATTTTACAGATGAGGCATCTGAGGTAGCTGGACGAGGCAAAAAAGTTCAGCGGATATTCATTATAGGATCCAAAAAAGTCGTTCCGGATAAAGAAGGTAGATCAATGCATAATAATCACTGCAAATATAATATAATTTATAGCAGAAAATGTTATGATTCATTTTTAAAATATTCACTCACATCATTCTAATTGATTCTGTTTGTATGTATGTCATCTTTTCGTGATTGAAAGCAATTGTTCTCAAATATGATCTTATAGTTTCTAAGTATTGAGCATCACCGAAAAAATCCTGCCAATTAAAAAAAGCTAGCCCTAGCCCCTTTTATTGTTCCATCGTTGGGTGTATGATCTTCTGGAAGTTTATGCAGTATATTATATAGCTCGATCGCTTTTTGTTCATTGCAATGGTACATGCTCGTACATTCTTCATCATTTTCATAGGGGATCAAGAGATATTCAACGCAAGCGACAACCAATATAGGCACATTCTTACGATACAAATCGATGTTTCTCATATCATCAATTGTATAATCATTAAGAACCGTTCTTTTAAACGTGTTTATTAACAATTCATCTTCTAAATTAAACCTGTTCTTGAATCTTCCCACCACCGCGATTAACATTTCCATTACAATTTCACCATCTTCTAATTGTTCTTCTGTAATGTTATGTTCAGCGATTACATGATTTCTTAAATTAATAATAAATTCTGCATTATATTTTAAATGAGCTCCACTGATAAAATTTGGCTCCATTCTTTCCTCCCATCAAATGCCCTGATCCTGACGAAACAATATATTTGAAACTATTGGATGTTTGATAAATAATATACATATTTTATTCAGAATAGATTAATTAATATTATAATCTGATGTATCAGATGCCTGAGAATAATCACGGTCCTGTCAATACTGACGCTTAAACAAACGCACAATAGGCCTAATGTCAACATCGTATTCCCGTGCTTATACATATCCTATACAATTATAAACACAACAGTCGAGGAATAAAAATATGAAAAAGAGGTAAACTTTTTTTACGAGCAAAACTATTGATCAATCATCAGAGACAAAAATAATTTCTATCAATACATCGGTGCATTTTAAATCGGGTAATGTCATTAAGGTTGCTGAAAATAAATAATAAATTGACCAGATTTTTCAAATACGATTTGACGTTTCATTTTTCCTCCTTTAAACTGAAGTTAATTATTATCAATTTTTAACTCGATAGTTTATAAGACACAAATTCAATCATGAAAAAAATGCTCGAAATCAACCATTTGATTCGCTTGTCTCTCATGAGCTATCGAGTTTACGGAAAAATGGCACGGGTTCGTTTTAATATACCATAATTATATAGGTGTATCGCGTCGCGCGTTCCGGACAGATTGGAGCTTTAAATTTTATGCGCGCGAGCTGCGGGGTGTGCGAATTAGTCTCCGGTGCTGTTCTGCTCGTGCCACGAACAGGCGCACAGGCTCGAGAGCTCGGAGTAAAATCAACCGAAAATTCGATAACAAACAAAAAATTCTATATACTTGTATATAAGAGCGCGAGCGAGCCATTATTCATTATCTATTTTGCCATGGCGCGCGCGGCGAAAGCTCAGCCGAGCAATTATCTTGTCGGTACACTCATCCGCGAAATCCGCTTGTAAAATTTATTCGGCGAGATCGTGCACACGTACACGTAGCCCATATAGTCGGGCAGGTAGTCAGGCAGGCGCACAATGTATTGGATGCGTAAAAAACAATGGGTACGCGCGTGTATAATGTTTATAATACGCAGGTCTCTCTCTCTCTGCTGCTGCGTGGGTGGATCGATCGGCCAACGCGCGGCGCAATATCGTGATTTGTCGTCAAAAGCTATAACGCACTTTCAAAGAGATCGCGCTCGAATGAATCATCGGCAGCCCAGCGGCATGTACACGCGCGAGCGCCAATATATACGATATCTTCCCGTAATAATAATCATCGTTATTATCATTGTTGTTATTATTGCTATTATTAATCTTATTGTTATTATTCACACGTGAACAGCTGCTGCGACGCGATGCAGCCGAGGGAATTTCTCTGACCGAGCAAAAACATGCGGATATATTATTGTACGTGTGCAGAGCTTGGTGTCCATCGTCGATCGAGCATCCAGTTTTTGTCTCCTACGTAAATTTGCACAGCTGTATTTTCGTTGAGTAAAATAAAATACTTGGCCTAGACGTAAATTATGAAAAATTCAAGACCAATCCATCGATGCAAGGACGTATATCGATGCTTTATACATGTAGCTTTCCGAGTACCAGGTATATATATCGAGCTTCGCACGTACCATCATGTAAATCTCGGCTACTTTTCTTCTTCGGCGTCTCTCTCTCTCTTTCCTTTTCTCGCTGCCGAATCTGTGGCGCGGCATCGGGGGTCGACTCGCGCGCGAACTGCGAACTTTTTTTATGCGTCGTTGAACTCGCGCTACTCGGCAGTCGACGCGCAAACGACGCGACACACACGACGACGACGACGAGTATAGAGTTCACTCGCTGCTTCTGCCGCTGCTACTCTAGCACATACATAGCATGTACAAGCTTATACATGTACCGTATCGCAAGTTTTCCCTCTGAATTTTATCGCGTATATACATTCGAGAGTGTACGTGTGGCAGAGCTGCAACTGCCTGTGTAACTTCTCTGTATTGACTCCGTGTATACTTTTTTTTTGCACCCCGAATCCCCGTATTTATCCGCCTCTGCACTGCTCCTTCCTTTTTTCTTCTTTTTACTTTTATTTTATACACACGGTTGAGTTGGTAAAAGTGTCGGGGATTTAAGAAATAAACTATGAACAAATACTCGTTGATAAATATTAGAACAGCAAATGAATAATATTTCCTCGGCTTGCGAGGACGCGACTCGTAAAAATGAAACAAACATCAAACTAAACAGAAACAAATATCTGTATAACAAACAAACGTTCAACGAAATTCATCGGTATTTACACGATCTCGCCGGTTCTTCGGATGCTCATCTCGCTGATCTGTAATCAGAAGATGTGAAGGGAGAGGATTCTATATACTGCTCTGCATAGATTTCGCGTAAAAGTACACTCGATTTGCATACCTGAACTTCCGGACTTGTACCGAGGGCGTACATGAGGGCGTCCGCGACGTCTGACGGATCGAGCTGAGGCACGTGCTTCAGGTGCTTGTTGACTGCCTCGTTGCGAGCGGCGATCTTCGTATTGACCAAGCCCGGATGGAGACTCTGAAAAATAAACAGAAACGATACAGTGAGTCCATGAATTCGTATGTTAAAGTTTCACAGAATCGGAAGGAGGTCAGCGTGTCAAAGGGTCAAAGAATCCGCGTCTTATAAATTATGCACCAAGTACGGGAACTCACCGTGACCCTGATGGGCAAATTGGCCAGTGAGACCTCGCGCCTCACCGTCGTTGACATGGCGCTGAGGGCGTGCTTCGTCGCTGGGTATATGTTCAATCCGTTGACGCCTATCTCCTCCAACAAGCCGGACTCTGGCACAACGAGACCCAGGATACTGTATGAAAAAAAAAATTCACAAAACAAAAAAAAAGAGCATTATTATACGAATTTCCGGTCGTCGCCGTATTATTATCATCAATTTTCTGTTAAGCTTCCCCATCCCCCGTCGCTTTCGAGAGGAGCCCGAACAAATTGACTGGTAATATTCATCGAACAATTTATGAGTTCTCTCTCTCTCTCTCTTGCCGATTGTAATCGATAACTCATAATTCCCGATAAATATTCTTTCGACGTGTACGTGACGAGATTTCATTAAAATTGCATCGATCAAGACTGCACACTCATTAGCATATGATCCAGTTTTACTAACGATGCGCCCCACTCGATATAATGTTCGTGCAGTTTTCGCCTGCACGTATCGAGAGATTACGTATGAAAAATTTGCATTCGACGATGCGCCTGGAGGTCGAATTTAATATTGAATACAGCTCACACATCCTGTGTGCATACCTGTTAATATTGAAAATGTGTCCTTCTTCCTCGCGATCGCGCAACATTTGAACGGTCCTCTGCGTGGCATTGGCCGCCGCCAAGACGTTCACTTTCAGCAGCTTCTCGAACGTCTGGCAGTTGCTGTCTGCAATCGGTACGATCGTTTCGATATAATCACTTTGTATGCGAGTGTCGAGAGAAAAAAAAATTGCTCACCAATGATCCTCGTGTAATCGTTGACGCCGGCATTGTTCACCAGAATCTGCACGCCGCCGTTAAGCCAATTTTCAGCGACGTCGAACATCTTGCGGATGTGCTCGTCGATCGTGATGTCGCACTCCAGTGGCATAAACATACCGTCGGGGCCCTTCGTCTGCGCGCAAATTCAAATGATAATAAAATACACGAGCGCGAAAAAACTGTGACGCATTCTCACGCGTACCTTGTTGTGTTCCTTGGCCGCAGGTGTCTGCTCGGCGACGTTCAGGTCCAGCCCGATGACGTTGATGCCGGCTTTGAGCAGCCGGTAGGCGATCGCCTCGCCGATACCGCCCGCGACGCCGGTCACCATGGCCGTTTTGCCTCGCCAGCGGGCCAGTCCGCGCGGGGATTGACCGAAGTGCACGGCGCGCTTGTTGCCGAGGAAAAGTGGATTTTGTCGGGCGAACGACATGTTGAACTTGAGGATGACGACGACGACGGCGCTTCGAGATAATCTCGTGCTCACTGCTTTACTGACGCGACGTAGAATTTTGGAGAATCGTAGCGAACTATCGACCGTCTATTGATAAACACTGCTCGCTACTGCGCGCGTAGTATAAGCAGCTGTTGACAAACGGATGATATTCGGTAAATATTCTCGAGACAACAATTGTCCTAGCGTTTGAATTGTATACTATTAATTCTTCATAATTCAGCTTTTCATAAGAGCAGTTGATGGGAAGTGATTAAGAAATAATTGAACAATGCATCAACTATTACGATTCACAATGATGCGAATAAATCATCAACTGCATTAAGATCGTTTTAATTAATTGTATAAAACTATATGTTTTTTACTAAACGATTTTCATCATCAATAACATTTAATTCGTTTTATCCAATCGTCATGTAATACAATTTCAACTTATGAGGCTACACGAGAAAATATTTCGGGCAAAAATTAGCCCATCAGGTGTAATTCGAGGAGCGTCGAAACTCGGATGCCATCAAGCACAGCTGTGCAGCGCAGTTCGGCTCGCTAGAGGTTAGGACATAGGACACAGGAGCACAGAGTCGCGGGGGGGAAACAGTCGGCTGCGGGTAGGGAGGCGGGGGGCCAAAGGGGGATAAAAAGTCATCTGCGACTTAGTTTAAGACTAGACAGAGGATATATATCCAGACGACTTACGCTGCAAAGCCGATTCGTTTGGTCGCCGCCGCCTCGTGTGCTGCTGCTGCTCTGGCAGCTCTCTAAGACCCGATCTCGCTTTCTTCCTCCTTTCGGAGCTATATATCCTCCTTAAATTGCTCGGAGCTCTGTGCTTTGTAGAGGAGTTTGCTTCCCAAGCCGATATGACGTGACTTGCTCTCTGTCTCTCTCTCTCGCTCTGCTGTACGACGACAACGATATATCTATGTGTGTTGCCTCTCGCTTTATACCGCTCCGATACCTATATGTATACACGTATAGTAGACAGGCACACATGAACTGTATGTGTGCGTGTGTGTACCTGTATATAGTCGGTTATAGTCTGTGTATATAGACACGAGCGTTAAGCACGCGGCAACAACAATAATAACGGCAAACGACAAAGACAACCACGACGACGAAGACGACGCCCGACGCCCGATGACTCTTCATTCTTCATCGCCCACGAGTCTATTATATCTATAAAAACTACCCCGTATACGTAACGAGGGTGAAATAAGTCGTGAGATTTAATTCGTAAAAAAATATAATAATAATAATAAATAAATGACAATATTTTTTTCTGCGTTATTGTAAAGTCATGACATTTTTCAACACTTTTGGCGCTCGGATGTAATTTTCGAGAGCCAGTTCGAAACCAGAGCCGCACTTCTTTTAATCTCTTCTCGTGCGCGCGTTGGCGCGTCCCGTGAATGAGCTTAAAAGTGACACGAATTCTCGACGCAGTTACAGCGAAAAATACTGCAGCATGTTTGTGCCATCGATTTTTATTGTGTACATCCGAGCAACAAAAGTGTATGCGAGCGAAAACGTTGGTTTCAGCTATGATATTTTTCATTGAAAAAACGGCTTATTTGGACCCGCATCGGCGTATCGACTGATTTTTCAATGATTCCAAAACTTGATTCAAAAAACTACATCAATGTGGCGCGCATTGCTTTTGTAACTCGATACACCGACCGAAATGTTACATATTTTTTTATATCCGCGTTAACAACTGTACATGAATGGCTATAAAGAAACAGCGCAACAAATTCGTTGTATACCGATGTACACCGATGTAACAACGTTTCTAACACAATTCTATTGGCAAAATTGCTGCGTGGTACGGTTGCGAGAGTGCATCGTTGCGTAAATGTTTCATTTAAAACGTTATCTATTCACCGACAGTTGAGAGCAGCAGTTTTTATATGCAAAACGCGAAACAGTCAATAGTATCGTAGCGAAAAAGCCGCGTGAATAAATCAGTCTCTCTATTCGATTAATTCGGTTAACTATAACTAATTTGCGACGTACAGAGAGGAGGACGTCGACGAAGGTCGAATTATACGAGGATTTTTCAATTTCTCGGAACGACCGGAGCTTTACAAGCTCGGGGGCGCGCGCGTTTGATATTTCATATCGTGTTCCGTGTTCGTCGAACGATTATAATGCAGCTTTGTGCGCGCGCGCCGAAACGTATCCGAAAACAATTTCGAAAGCTCGGGGAAAGTTTTGGGGGTGAAACAATTAAACGCTCGTTGGTCGATCCCGAGAATTTCTTATGCCACGCCACCGCAGAAAAGGAGCTTGCAGAGAGAGCTTGCAACAACTTCTCTTATTAGGCTGTAGCCAGGCTAGCCGCATGGTCCGGAGCAGTAGGAGGTGGGCGAGAAAGAAAATCTCTCTTTGCTACTGCGGAGTTCTTATATAGAGAATTGGGAGCACGTTGCGGTACGGCTGCCAGCGCGTTCATGGCATTGTCGGCGCAATGTGTGCGCGCGCGCGAGAAAGAGAGAGAACTAAGAGCTCGTGAAAATTCATCATTCAACCGTCAAAAAGACGTTCGGGACTCTGAGAGTGCGAGCAAGAAAGAGAGAACGAGCGAAATCCTACGAAGAAAGAGCTGCCGTATACATATATATTCTATAAAGGTTCTGGCGAGAAGTACGCCATTGGCACTAGTAGAGCGTTGGATCGTAAAGCAGCAGCAGCAGCAGCTCACGGCAGGCACCTATACCGTGACTACTCTCACTCCCCGCGTGCTAGAAGTCACTTGGCTGTGAAAATGGGAGCTGAGAGCAAAAGAGAGCCAGACCCTCTCTCTCTCTCTTTCTCTCTCTGTATATAAGGCTCCCGGGCCGTTTAACCCCCTTCACACTTGCGCGAGAGCTTTTATTCGCAGTTATTTTTGCGGTTTGTCTCGAGGATAGACGACGCACTTTTCACCTGATTATCCTCCCTCGTGCACGGCAGGCCGCAAGCTCGTTAAAAAAAAAAAGGATAGAGAGAAATGACAACTCGTCGTCGTCCTTGTGCGCGAATATACTCGTGCCGCTGAGGGTGTTATTTTTTTCAGCCCTCGTGAATTTTGAAATTTCTCTCTCTCTCTCTCTCTCTCTCTCTCTCTCTTGCTCCTACACTCGAGCCTCCTGCACAGTGCGAATTAAAAATTTCCAAGCGACGCTGTAGGTGCGGGGTGACTGAGAGCCCTTCGTTTGACTGCGTGTGCGGCGCGTTTTATCAGCCGCAGCAACAGCTGCTGTTATATATGTACGTAGCTCGAGCTGAGCTTTCTGTGGTCCTCGCGAGCATGCTGAATCGTCGTCGTCCATCGCTTGGCGGCACAAGACAGAGAGCATCGAGAGGATGGCTGCGTACATATATAGGTCCACGAGCCCGGGCGAGAAAGAGAGAGAGAGAGAGAGAGATTATCGATTGGCCAAGCCATTGGATTTGGAATTCAACTGGCAGCTGCAGAAGTGCCAAACGTTTCTCGTGCAGCACCTAGTGCCCGTGTGGCCCTGCACACACACACACACACACACACACACACACACACACTGACACATAGCTCGAGTCTACACACGCACATTGGCTTTTCTCGCTCGCGAGAGCAAGCCCCAACCCGGGTCTGAAAGCTAGAGAGTGCGGAGCGCGCGGTATAGAGATAGCATTGCAAGCTGCACACGAGCTTTCGTATATACATATACGCGCCTAGGCCAGCTAACAAATGGGATGTTTGTCCGGCAAATACCCAAGCGCGAAGAGAGAGAGCGACTCTTTGAGCTTTGCTGACTCGGAATTGTGAATCACGATTCACACGCTTTCTTCCTCACTCTCTCTCTCTCTCTCTCTCTCTCTCTGTGTATCTCTCTATCCCCATTTCCCCCGACTCTTTTTTTTTCTTCTTCTATTCCAGTCTTCCGCAGCGCGTTCGGCGGCCTGCACAGAGACCGTATACATATAAAATACGCGGGCTCCTCTACAGAGAGAGTGAGTGAGAGCTTTACCGCGCCTATCTCTGTACCTCAATACTACTTACTCCTTTTACGCCGCAGCGCTTCTTCGCGCTTCTGTGAGTCTGTCTGGCTGTGTGTGTGTGTGGGAGCGAAAGAGTACACTCGCTCTCGCGCGCTCGATCCTCGAGTCATACTCTTTGATGTTTTCGATACTCGCGCGCTCGAATAAAAGAGCTATTGGCCACCGGATTCCAGAGAGAGGTGAGAGGAGAGAACGAGTCAGATTGCGTATTGTTTCCTTCTTTTCTTTGTTTCTTCTGTACCTTCGGCTGTGTATCGCTATTTGCCCTGGCATACGTAATTTTTGGCTGCTGTGTACCGTCGATCGGCACCCGAAATTCATCCTGGCTCCAGCCGCAATAAAAGTTATTTGCTCGAGATCCTCGACAGATAATATAACTGTGAAAGTAAATCACGACGTTTAAACAATTTCTTAACTTTTAAACATTGCTCGATCAATTATCTTCGGCTTCCTCAAGTATAGGAATTACAATCCCTAATGATCGATCAGATCGTGGAGAACGTGCGCGTAATTTTGAATGAATTCTCTCGCATATTTTCCAATGTATAAAATGAGGCGGAAACACACGAGTCGACGATATGTGTGTCTGCGCGTCGCTGGTGTGTATTGTGTCTCGATTCCAGGAGCAAAAAAAGCCAAAGTCGTTGGGGAAGAAAAAGAGTCATTATTCGTTACGCGCGCGACAAGCTGCAGCCAGGCCAAGCAGCCGCAATAACGGCGAAACTTTATTAATCCCCAACTATCATTTATTTAGCTAGCACCGCAGGTAATTACCAGAGACCGGAGAGAAGAGCTGCTACTGCAGTCGGTATCTATATAGATACTTCAGTACACGTATATAGCCAACACTGTGTGTCGCTTGCGTATATAGATATATATAGTAGAGCAATACGAGGGATGGAGAAAACGCGCGAAACAGCAGCAGGCAGTAGCAGCTACATACCTGCAGCAAGTTGGCAGCGGCGTCGTTGGGTGCTTTGGGCAATAATATCAGTGTGTGTGTGTGTGGCGGTGGCGGTGCTTATAGCAGCCCGAGGATTGACCTTTTCGGCAAAGCAATTCGGCCGGAAGCGAAGTTTTAATTAGTCCCTTATCCCAATACGTCCCGAGCTATATACGTATATAGTATCGCGAGAGAGCGAGAGAGAGAGACAGAGGGAAAGCTTAGAGTCGCGGTATGGGCACGCCTGAAACATGTCCCGATATACTCCTCCGACATTGACAAACTGCTGTTTGCAGTATATCTCGCTATACATTTTCCGGCTCTGCATTTATATACATCGACACGGAAGTTACCCATAATCTTCAACAATCGTGCAAGGATAAACGATCATAAACAGCTAAACTTGTCATCCTCGATGGCGCTCAATTTTTTTTAAACTCATCGCGCGGCTCTGATCGATGTCAAATTTTCATAGATCCCTCGCTGCACCCGCAACAGCAACAAATTCAACTCGTGCATACATACGGTAACGTCTTACTATGTAGCCCGGTGACTACATATTACGGCGTCGTCGCACAGGATGCCCTGCATACGATGCAGCAGAGTTCAGCCGCGCTTATCGCACAAGCTGCGAGCGAGATGCCGCGCAAACGACGATCTAGAAGCTGTCTCTCAGATTATTATGATGTATACGCGAGCTCGGAACACATAAACACGAGTTCACGCGAGATGCTGATGGCGCTTTTTTTTGCGCCACGTCGTCTTTCCACGCGAGATGAGGTCGTAGAGAGAGAGAGAGAGAGAGAGAGAGAGAGAGACAGAGTCCCCGGAAAATTTTCCCAAGATTTCGACCTTGTTTTTGGCCTGGCTAAATTTAGATTTATCGTTCTGGACATTTTTCGCGCTCGCTCGTTCTAACATTTGCATGGAGCAGGAGCGAGCCGGGGGCTTCCCCCGTATATACCGTACCTACTATATAGCCGCGCATGTAGCGAAGAGCTTGCA